TGGTCCTTTCATGTTATCACATAATTCTTGGAAGTTCTGTTTATGGTTTCTTACTATCTTCTCTGTGTTGTCAACTTGATTTTCAAGATTATACATTTGACTTTGTTGCCTATGGGTCTGACTTCCAAGTAGTTTATTCTGTTGGTTGTACTTTCCATTGAACTTTTAATTTTTTTTATCTTTTCATTTTGAGGATTTCTGCTTGATTTATTTTCATAATCTCTAACTCTTTTTTTAAAAAGAGAGAGAGAGAGAAAGAGAGAAGAGAGAGGGAGAGAGAGAGAATTTTTTAATATTTATTTTTTTTTTAGTTTTTGGTGGACACAACATCTTTATTTTATTTTTATGTGGTGCTGAGGATTAAACCCAGCACCCTGCGCACACCAGGCAAGCGACATCCCCAGCCCAAATAATCTCTAACTCTTTATTGAAGTTTACTTTCACCACCTGAAATTTATCTTTGATTTCACTCCTTATATTTTATATCCAGCAAAATTAAGCTTCAGATTTGAAGATGAAATAAAAACCTTTCATGATAAACAAAAGTTAAAAGAATTTGCAACTAGAAATCCTGGACTATAGAACATTCTCAGCAAAATATTCCATGAGGAGGAAATGAAAAAAAAAATAGTGAAAACCAGCAAAGGAAGGAATTAAAATTAAAGAAATTAAATTACAATTAAAGGAATTACTAAAGAAAAGTCAATCAAAGGAGAAATAAAATAAATTAAAAACTAGAAATAAACCCAAATGACTGGGAATACAAATCACATCTCAATAATAACCTTGAACATTAATGGCCTAAACTCACCAATCAAAATATACAGAGAGGCAGATTGCATTTAAAAAAAAAAAAAAAAAAAAACCCAACAATATGCTGTCTCCAAGAGACTTATCTCACAAAGACATTCACAGACTAAAGGTGAAATGATGGGAAAAAACATCACTCACGAGGATAGTGTAAATAAGCAGGGATTTCTATCCTCATATCAGAGTGGACTCTAAGCCAATGTTAATGAGAAGGGACAAAGAAGGACATTTCATACTGCCTAAAGGAATTATACATCAACAAGATATAACAATCCTAACTATCTATACCCCAAACAATGGAGCATCTACATACATCAAACCAACCTTTCTCAATTTCAAGAATCAAATAAACCACACACAATACTATGCCTCTGTCACCAATGGATAGTTCCTCCAATCAAAAACTAAAAAGCTATAGAAGTAAAAAATACAATTGATAATTTAGATTTAACAGACATACATAGAATATTTCGTCCATCAATAACTAAATACACTTTCTTCTCAGCAGCACATGAATCCTTCCCTAATATAGACCATGTTATGTAAGCTATCACAAATGTTGACATACAATTGTAATATTACCTTAATATATTTTAGCATCTGTAGGCTTATTTTGATAGCTCCCTTTCCATTGATATTAACTTTTGTGTTCTTTCTTTTTTCTGGATTAGATTTGTTTATTTTTTTAATCAAATTTTAGCTGTATTAGTTCTCCTCTACTAATATATTTCTGCTCCTACTCTTATTTTTCCTTCCTACTACATAATTTGAAAATAATTTATTATTCTAGCTTCACTTTGATACAAGTACTTTAAGTTATGAAAGTTCACCTGAGTACTGTTTTTAACCCAGAAATCCTGATATTTTAAGCTTTTTTTTAAATCACTTAGTTCAAAGCACTTTTTATTTATTTTTCTTATGCTTTCTTCCTTGACTTCTGAGATAATTATAGGTATGTCATTTAATTTTGAAATAGTTGACATGGGGGTGAGGTCCTATATATCTTAAGGTGATTGGTTTCTAATGTAATAAGTCATACATAGAACACAATCTACATGATTTCAAAATTTAAAAAGTAATGGAAATGCTTTTTATATTGATTGCATTGGTTACATTCATGTCAAAACTGATCAAACTGCAAACTTCAAATATGTGCATTTTATTGTAGTTCAATTTTATCTCAATAAAGGTATGGGAAAAAAAGAAGTTTATCTTGGGAATGAATTTATAATCTTTTTCATTTTGTAATTCTTTAACTTCTGTGTAGCTTCATATGAAGAAAAAACTATTAAATTGGAATGGTAACTATTCAAGTGGTGTCTAAAAAGAGCCTTCTTGTAATAAGAAAAAATGCAAATAGAGCAAAATTGATCTTTTTTACGTACACCATTTTTGTGAACTCACATATTAAATATTTCATGAGCTGCTTCTGAACAAGGTAATAGTTTCCTCATTTTTGTTACCACAAAATTTGAAAATATGAAAAGCTATGGATACAAAGTGATATTTCTGATAAACTAGGGAGGATTATCATCATCATTATTTAAAAATATATATTAAAATAATATTATAATTAATAATAATATATTATTATTATTTAAAAATAATACTATTATTATTAAAAAAACCACTTCAACAGAGAGGAAGGTAAGTCTATGTAGAGGGAAATATAAGAATAAAAATCTGAAAAAGAGCCTGGTCTTTTAAAAATAAAGGAACAAAATAGCAACAAAAACACTGGACATATGGTACACAGAGGACCAAAAGAAGACAGTCAACCTGACTGGGATGAGACCATCAATGTTCATGCTAAATATGTGACCCTTTGTTTTATTCCTAAGTAATCAAAAGACCTTTCAAAAAGATGCATTAGATGATCCAGAAAGAAAATTAAGAAGAATGTGGAGGATAAACTGAAAAGCGGTGGCTCCCAGATTTATCAAAGGACACATGTCTAGTTTAGTAGAAACAATAGAAGCCAAAGTAGTCAAACATCAATGGGTCTAGAAAATTACTCCAAAATCTACTTTTATCCTGCCTTTCAATATTTTGTTTTAGCTTGCAATTCCTACCACTTGAGAATGACTACTCATGTGGAAAGTCTACTGACCTCTTCCATGGTGTTTCCCCCAAAATAAAATCTTTCAGCAACATACACTATAATCTGTGCTTCTGCACACGTGTTTACCACAATGTTTTTTTGATATTGTACTCCACCCTTTTCCTCTGTATGTAGGACTAGAGTAGTGAGGGAGTATGTCCTGACATAAATCAAACAACAGAAGATGAATAATAGGTTATTATCTATATTCAAAATGAGGGTTTGTGCAAAGGCAGAGAATTTGAGTCATTATTCTTGGGCTGGGTTTTAGAAGGCAAATAATTTACATTTGAAATCCTATTCACGGTCTTCTTTGTGTTAAAAAAAATTCTCAGAATTACAAAGGTGGTATATATGTGTGTTAACAGTGGGCTAGGATGGGACAGCAATAAAATCAGATAAAAGAAGCAGGTAGAGCAAGGAAGACTAAACTCATCATCCCACAAAACTTCACACAATGGACGATTTAGGAAGTTATAGAAAGCAGGCTGTGCCTTGCTCCCAGTTACTCCATGATGTATAGAATGGCAAGTTTCTGTGCCTAAATCCAAGTTACTCCATTTTGTAAAGCAGTAGTTTGCCGTAAGCTACTCCAATTTGAGTAAAAGTGTAAAGGTAGAATGACTCTATAACTCCTGTGCACAAGTAAACAACCACTATCTGCCCAGCACAACCATAAGGCACAGATTGACAAATAACTTACACATGCTAACTTATCAAGCTCAATCAAGGAGTACTTAGACACAAACTGAAACTGCCATCTGTCTGTCCAGACCCTCTGCTTTGACAACTGCAGAAGTAGTCCCTTAAAATCCTTATCTAACTATCTACAGTAACTCTGATTTTGCATTCATCTCTCCATCAATGCTCATAGCCCAGTACCCTACAGCTGTCTTAACCCTTTACCTTTTTGACTCACTGTCTCTCCCTCCTGCCCCTCTGAAGTTTGATGTGTTGAGTGAACTTGTGATTGCCCAGCTTATGACTATCAGATAACCTGTGAGTATTCTATGAACTGCCACCACTAAAATTTATGTAGCCTGTGAATTTATTATTATCCAATAAATTCTAACATGATGGAAAGACACAAAGATGTTTGGTCTATGTTAATGACATAACTCACTAACCACAGAAGTGCCACAACTTCAAAGAATATAGTGCAAAGGGAAGTGACTTAGTTAAAAAAAAAAAAATTCACACACTAATTTGGGCTGCTCCTTGCAAAATCTCATTACTGTATTCTTGTGAAAAATAGATATAAAAGTTGTTTTTGAAGTCAGATCTAATATGTCATTAAAAACAACAAGGCCAACAACAAGGCCACGGCAAATTCAGGTATGGAAATAGAAAAAACTTAAAGGAAGTAAGGCAACAAAGCTATGCAGGAGTCTTCAATCTCACCCAAACTCTGAAAATTGGAACAAACAATTTACTTATATTTCAGGAAGAAGAAAATTTTCCATAGATATCTATTTATTGTATATTAGATCTGTAACATGTAACATTAGTTCTTTGAAATAATCAGGATAACTTTTACCATTAGTTTGCTATTTAAAAAGAAGTACATAATTATTTAAATCATTCAATTACCATCTTATTTTTTTACCTAGAGACAGAAAATAATATATTATTCTCAGAAAAAATAGCCATTTATATAATAAGTATATACATAATTTATATATGTGGATGTATATGTTTATGCATTTCAAGTATTGCATAAACCTTGAAAATTAGAAAAAAATTCAGTTACTTTTTTTTTTTTTAATGATTTGGAACTGGGCTTAGAAACTGTAAAAAGAAGCTGAGTCCCGGTAAAATAAATATTACCATCTATTAACACAAGAAATGAAATGTTAAAGGAGAAGACTGAAAACCTGTATGAATTTGGTTACAAAAAGATGGAATAAATACTATTAACTATAATATGAATTGATATGAAGAAAGATCAAAGGCATCACTTAAGAGGAATATATGAAATGTTATCCTTACAGTATTTGGGCAGAAGAGGAGAGCACAGGTTTAGGAAGCTGGGAAAAAAGGATGTGCAGAAAAATAAAAGAAAAAATAATCAGAATATTCCATTACTAACCTGGTTTAGTTTCTTCCACAGATTGAGGACAGGAGAAAGTTCATTAGACCAGATTTCTCTATCAAATTTGCAACCAGCTGTTACTGATCTGCCCAGGATCCTCAGCTGTGAAATAACCTGAATGAAAAAAATTAGTAGCAATAAATAGAAATAATTGCAACAGAAAGAAACAATACCAGCACAAAACCAAGCATATTTATTTTATAAAAATGATTGATTATGTTGTAAGCAGGTTTTAATATTATTGTCTCTGTACAATTGGCTTCATATTTTACTGATTTTATTTTTAGTAGTTAAAAAAATGTAAAGTGAAGGGAAACCAGTATAAAATTATAATTGCAATGTCTCTTATTTGCAAAGCTGCTGCTTTATGCAGAAAGATCTCATTATCCATTATTAATAACCTGAGCTTTATTTGCTAATTTTTAAAATCTGTCTTTTTTGTTAAGTTTCATGATTTCCAAAATGCCAACATGGTTTTTTAAAAAATATAAAATGATAGGAAAGATAGTAAATAGCATAGTAAACATTATATAAAATGGTAAACCAATTTTAAGTAACTTCTGGTTGGTAAAAATTATTCATAAATCTAAGTTCTAATGCCCTACTAATTTTAGGTTGTCATTTCAATGTTTCATCTACACACAGGGCTTCAATGAAAGACGTATAGTTCAGTTAATGAAAATGAAGAAAGGTAAATAATTATTCCTTATTTTGGATTTTTGGTTCCATATATACTATTATCAGCTTCTCTATCATTCTCATTAAAAGCAATTAACACAGAGGCTTTTTCTAAGATAGAATTAAATAGCTCCCATTTTAAGGGCATTTATTAACCTCCTTATTCATTTGTTAAAAATTATCTGAAATATTATCAAGTATGCTGAATCCTAGATCACAGATAGTGTAGTGTATGAAAGAAAGAAAGAAAGAAGAGAAGAGAAGAGAAAAGAAAGGAAGAAAGAAAAGAAAGAATTGCTGATTGCTTTTTATAATATTTTAATAAAATATTAAAATTCCCACTACCCGGTCCACCACTTTGACACCCAGCTTGGCACTTAGCACTCAGAGCTTGGCAAGAGATTGACCCCAGGAGGCCAGTATCCAAGAGCAAAAGAAGTGGCCAAGGATAAGCTCCCCATCCCACAAGTGGAACTCTGGGGAGATTCCTGGGGTACAGTCTCCCAACATAGATTGGCATCTAATGGGCTCTAGAGATGCATTGTTAATTCAACACCACCAGGCAATTCACCATGCATAAAGCACATGGAACCTCACTAAACCTAAGCCCCATTCCCAGAAATTCCACCTTGGGAACTCCTTTAACAGAACCCAGCAAACACCCTGGAAGTGGAGCTAACAGATTATCCCATTCCATCCCACACCACTCTACCAAGAAGGGAAGTTAAAAAGTCTTAAACTCCAAATTGCAACTCAGTAAGTAACACAATAAAAAAAAAGGAAGAACTCAACAGCCCATGGCTCACACTCCTACACTCATTCATACCTTAAAAAGAAATGAAAAGAAAATCACTAGAGCACAGATAAGAAACATGTTTCTCACTATTTTGTCCACCATAATGAAAACGACTTCTTAACTTTCATCATGATTTTTCTTTTCTTTTGAATGTGTACCAACTTATTCAAGAACAATTATACATATGCATATGTTATGTTTGTCTTCTCATTTCTAGCCTCTTTTTTTTTAAAAAAAAAGTTAGTTATTTTTCCTTGTTCTTTTTTTTTTACCATACGATTTATTTTTATTTTTTTTTAGTCATACATGACAGCAGAATGTATTTTGACATACAATACATACATGGAATGTACATACATCAATCATATTGTCTATTCTATTCTGCTACTCTACCTATCCTCCCTACTCCACCCCTCCTCTCCCATCCTTTCTCTCTATCCAATCTAGTGTGACACATATTTTTTTCTTTTTCTCGTCACAACATCATATATGTATTTTGTATAACAATGAGGTTCTCCTTCTATCTTCCGTGCAACTCCCTTTCTCCCTCTTTTTCCCTCCCACCTCTCTTCCCTATTTAGTGGTAGTCTTCTCATGCTCTTCCTCCCTATCCCATTTTGAGTTACCCCCCTTATATCAGAGAAGACATTCGGCATTTGTTTTTTAGGGATTGGCTAACTTTACTTAGCATAATCTGCTCTAATGCCATCCATTTGCCTGCAAATGCCATGATCTTGTTATATTTTAGTGCTAATATTCCATTGTGTATAAATGCCACATTTTTTTAATCCATTCATCTATTGAAGGGCATCTAGGTTAGTTCCACATTCTAGGTATTGTGAATTGTGCTGCTATAAACATTGATGTGGCTGTGTCCCTATAGTATACTCTTTTTAGGTCTTTTGGGTACAGTCTGAGAAGGGGAAGAGCTGGGTCAAATGGTGGTTCCATTCCCAGCTTTCCAAGGAATCTCTATACTGCTTTCCAAATTGGCTGCACCAATTCGCAGTCCCACCAGCAATGTATGAGTGTACCCCCCCCCCCCCCCCAGCACTTATTGTTGTTTGACTTCATAATGGCTGCCATTCTTATTGGAGTGAGATGGTATCTTACAGTAGTTTTAATTTGCATTTCTCTGATTGCTAGAGATGGTGAGCATTTTTTCATGTATTTGTTGATTGATTGTATATCCTCTTCTAAGAAGTTTCTGTTCAAGTCCTTGGCCCATCTGTTGATTGGGTTATTTGCTTTTTTGTTGTTTAACTTTTTGAGTTCTTTGTATACTCTAGAGATTAGAGCTCTATCTGATGTTTGAGGGGTAAAAATTTGTTCCCAGGATGTAGGCTCCCTATACACCTCACATATTATTTCTCTTGCTGAGAAAAAACTTTTTAGTTTGAATTCATCCCATTTGTTGATTCTTGGTTTTAACTCTTGTGCTATAGGTGTCTTATTAAGAAATTTGGGGCCTGCCCCCACGTGATGAAGATTAGGGCCAACTTTATCTTCTATTAGATGCAGAGTCTCTGGTCTGATTCCTAGCTCCTTGATCCATTTTGAGTTGACTTTTGTGCATAGTGAGAGAAAGGGATTCAATTTCATTTTGTTGCGTATGGATTTCCAGTTCTCCCAGCACCATTTGTTGAAGATGCTATCCTTTCTCCATTGCATGGTTTTAGGACCTTTGTCTAATATAAGGTGGTTGTAATTTTTTGGATTTGTCTCTCTGTCCTCTATTTTGTACCATTGGTCTTCCAGCCTGTTTTGGTGCCAGTACCATGTTGTTTTTGTTACTATTGCTCTATAGTATAGTTTAAAATCTGGAATCACGATACCACCAATTTCACTCTTCCTGCTTAGAATTACCTTAGCTATTCTGGGTCTCTTATTTTTCCAGATGAATTTCATGATTGCTTTTTCTATTTCTGCAAGGAATGTGATTAGGATTTTGATGGGAATTGCATTGAATCTGTAAAGTGCTTTTGGTAATATGGCCATCTTAATAATATTAATTCTACTAATCCATGAGCAAGGTAAATCTTTCCATCTTCTAAGGTCTTCTTCTATTTCTTTCTTCAGGGTTCTGTAGTTTTCATTGTATAGCTCTTTCACCTCTTTTGTTAAGTTGATTCCCAGGTTTTTTTTTTTTTTTTTTTGAGGATATTGTGAATGGAGTAGTTGTCCTCATTTCCATTTCAGAGAATTTGTCACTGATATACAGGAATGACTTTGATTTATTGGTATTGATTTTATATCCTGCCACTTTGCTGAATTCATTTACTAGTTCTAGAAGTTTCTTGGTTGAATTTTTTGGGTCTGCTAGGTATAGGATCATGTCATCCGCAAATAGTGCTAATTTAAGTTCTTCTTTTCCTATATTTATGCCTTTAATTTTTTTCGTCTAATTGCTCTGGCTAGTGTTTCAAGAACTATGTTGAATAGAAGTGGTGAGAGAGGGCATCCCTATCTTGTTCCAGATTTTAAAGGGAATGCCTTCAATTTTTCTCCATTTAGAATGATGCCTTGTTCTGTTTTTTGAGGATTAAAGATTTTGGTTAGTATATTTTAATTTTCTTTTTTATTATCTACCTGACTACTCTACTTCCCTTGTTTCCTGCTCTTATTTTCTTTTGATAACAGTCAAATTCTACTATTCCCACTTTCACTTTTCCTTTAAATTTTTGCTTCTGTTTCTTCTCCTCCCAGCTCAAAACCAACACATCCTACATCACCACAGCATTTTTCATAGTTATAGGAGGTTTGAAAAGTGTTTGCAATTTATATCTTGTTGTCTCTTAAAGCTATCCTTCACATGTCTTAACAATATAGGTTCATATAATGCTGACTCCCAACCACCAATGCGATAGCATTACTAATTAATATTAATAATTAACAAAACCTATTGTCAAATTTTATGCCAGACATAATTTTTTATTATTTACCCTTTTACCAATGAAAACTGCTAATACTATTGCTGCTTATTGTGCAAACTAATTATATATATATATATATATATATATATATATATATATATATATAAACTTGCATAGGTTGATGCTATTATTTGTTTTCCCCATAATCTATGAGGTGGTAGAACATGCAGGGACACTATAGGGTAGGGTAGGGTAGGGTAGGGTAGGGTAAAAACTCCACAATTAAAAATCCATACAGATAGATGGGTAGATAAAAAATATTAAAAAGCAAGGGAACAAACCATCCCAAACAACACAGAATACATGAACAAAGACTTCACTGACACCACAGTGGAGGAAATGTCAGAGAAGAAATGTGGAAAGGTTATGGTTAAACAGATCTATGAGTTAAAAAAAATGACAATGTAAGGAGTAAAATCAGAGAAAATACAAGTAGTGAAAGATCACTTCAATAAGAAAATAGAGATTTTGAAGAAGAATCAATCAAAAATGCTCAAAATGAAGCAATCAATAAATGAAATAAAAAATCCAATGGAAAGCATCAATAGACTAGACCACTTGGAAGATTGAGTTTCAGGCAACAAAAACAAAATATATGACCTGGAAAATATGTTGACCATGGAAAAAAGATATTAATAGAATAACATGAACAGAACTTTCAAGAAGTATGGGATAACATGAAAAGGCCAAATTTAAGATTCCTCAGG